GGGGGGGAAGGGGGGGGGGAGGAAAACACATCCCAGCCTGAGGTTCTGGGAATCTACAACCCATTTGTAGGGCCAGTCGAACGTTTTATTGGAAAATTCTGCCGCTAGCCCGGTTCCCCAGCTCCAACAGCAGCCAGCGCTAGGGGAAGGCTCATGAAACACCCCTAGAAGGCAGCTCTGGGGTCACCTGCTGCCTCCCGGCCCCCCCCTCTGGGCAAAAGTGGGCACTTCACCTACCTCCTGCATTGTTTCCTGGCTGACAGCCATCCCATGGGCCAGTCCTGATGGGGCCCTCCAGCCATGCTTTCAGTAAATGCCCCCTTCCAGGGTACAACCTAGCCCCATTACTCCAAGGCCTCAAGAGCAGGGAAGAGAGGTTCAGAACCCCCTGGAAGTCTCCACTTCCACCATCTGGCCCATCCCAAGGTGTGGGGGGGGGGGAAGCTCACCAACCCATCACCTGGCCTCAGAGGGTCCAGGCTGGAGGCTCAGGTTAGCTCTGCACCCCCAGGACTCCCCAGCACAGAGTGTGGCTCTAGCTCAGCTCCTTTCTGAGTGTCCCCCAACTGGCCTGGGCTCCACCCTTGAAGGCCCCACCCCCAATAAGCCACACAGGTGTGGACGGTTGGGGCTGATTGGCACCCCAGGGAGTTGGCGTTAATATGTGCTGTTAAACAGCTGCTGTGCTCCGCCCCAGAGGTAGCTGCACCGATGGGGAAGCATTTGGGGTCCTGCGTGCCATAAAACCCATGTGCTACCACAGACTGGGCTGATTCTTCCCTTCACTTGGGAGACTGCTCATCTGCATTCAGCCCCCCGAGCCGTACACAGCAGGGGTGAGGGAAGGTCATAGAATCCTAGAATCCCAGGGCCGGAAGAGACCTCAGGAGGCCATCAAGTCCAGCCCCCGGCCCAAGGCAGGACCAACCCAACACAATCAACCCGGCCAGGGCTTTGTCAAGCCAAGACTTAAACACCTCTAGGGATGGAGATTCCACCCCCTCCCTAGGGAACCCATCCCAGTGCTTCACCGCCCTCCTAGGGAAACAGTTTTTCCTAATGTCCAACCTAGACCTGCCCCACTGTAATTTGAGACCATTGCTCCTTGTTCTGCCATCCCTCACCACTGAGAACAGCCTCTCTCCAGCCTCTTTGGAACCCCCCTTCAGGAAGTTGAAGGCTGCTCTCAAATCCCCCCTCACTCTTCACTTCCGCAGACTAAACAAATGCAAATCCCTCAGTCTCTCCTCATAGGTCATGCGCTCCAGCCCCCTAATCATTTTGGTCGCCCTCCACTGGACCCTCTCCAGTGCATCCACATCCTTTCTATAGTGGGGGGCCCAGAACAGGACACAATACTTCAGAAGTGGCCTCACCAGAGCCGAATAAAGGGGAATAATGACATCTCTGGATCTGCTGGCAATGCTCCTCCTAACGCACCCTAATATGCCATTCGCCTTCTTGGCTACAAGGGCCCACTACTGACTCATATTCAGCTTCTCATCCCCTGTAATCCCCAGGTCCTTTTCTGCAGAGCTGCTACTTAGCCGGTTGGTCCCCAGCCTGTATCAATGCCTGGGATTCTTCCGTCCCAAGGGCAGGACTCTACACTTGTCCTTGCTGAACCTCATCCGATTTCTTTTGGCCCAATCCTCTAATCAGTCCAGGTCACGCTGGACCCTCTCCCTGCCCTCCAGCGTATCTACCTCTCCCCCTAGCTTAGTGTCATCTGCAAACTTCAAACTTGCTGAGGGTGCAATCCATCCCCTCATCCAGGTCATTCATAAAGATGTTGAACAAAACCGGCCCTAGAACCGATCCTTGGGGCAGTCCGCTAGAAACCGACCGCCAACCTGACATGGAGCTGTTGATCACTCGCTACCTGTTGGGCCGGACAGTCTAGCCAGCTTTCTGTCCATCTTACAGCCCATTTATCCAATCCATACTCCCTTAACCTGCTGGCAAGAATATTGTGGGAGACCGTATCAAAAGCTTTGCTAAAGTCAAGGTAGATCCCATCCACCGACTTCCCCATAACCACAGAGCCAGTTACCTCATCGCAGAAGCGATTTGTCGATGGGGTCTGGTGAAACCAGGCTGTGATTCCGTGGCTCCTGGCCCGGCTGGGCATTAGCGGGGGATGGTGTTAGTTAAGCCAAAAACCTCAAGCATCCTATGAATCCCGGGGCGGGGGGAGCAGGCCCAGACTTGCGCTTCCCACCGTTACAGCTGATGGAAGGAGAGCTTGGAAAGACCTAGACAACAGCCCAGAATAAGCCTTCCGAGGCCTGCTTCTCAGTGCACCCTCTATCCCACCCGCCTCCCTGTATGCGGGGGCAGGGGCACGAAGGGCAAAAGGCCCTGTGTGTAGCACTCAGAGGGGCTCCTGCCGTTGCTGGCATGGCTGCAGATCAGAACGAGGGCTCAAAGGCAGGAGAAAGGCTCGGGCGGCTTGGATCCCATCCCGGCTGGTCCAGCACTGATCTCGTCCGGGGACTGGGGCTGAGATGGGGCTAGCCCAGGGAAGGAAGAGCCGGGGAGGGGGAGTGGGGTCTGTGGTTTGGGATTGAGGGGGAACGGCAAAGCACCAGGGAAAGTTTGCAGGGCCCTGGCCTGCAATCTGCGCGATGGACCGAGCTCGGCAGAGGCCGGTGCCCTGCCACAAGGACCAGGAACTGCAAGCACCCAATTACTCCTGTATCGACCTGACAAACGTGATGGTGCAAGGCTGGGGAAGTCGGAATCCTCAGATTAACTCAAGGGAGTCCCATAAATCAGCAATGAGACGCAGACACCTGGCAGACTGAGCCCCAGGAGACTATGCAGGTGGCCTGGTGGGCAGGGGATGGGTTTTTTTGTCGGTCTCCTGAGCAAGGAGAGGCTGCAGGAGGGACCTGACGGAGACTGAGGATGTCACTTTGCGGCCAGGTCTGGGGAGCCGCACAGGAAGCAGCACAAAGTTGTTTGAAAACGGGTGGCGGCAGTGAGATGGGGACTGGCTTCACTCTAGCGCAGTGTTTCTCAAACTGTGTTCCATGGTACAGTCGGAGGTGTGCCATGGAGAACAAGAGTTCAAAACGGCCACCCCTAAAGGGGCAGGTGACCTTTTTTTCCTCAATAACTGCCCCCCCCACACACACACACACACTTTTTTTTTTCCCCCTCAACAACCAATCCTCAATGTTCCTCATGAAAAAAAATTATTGTTTGGTGTTCCTCTGTCTTAAAAAGTTTAAGAAACATTGCTCTAGTGTCTGCCAGATGCTGGGCCAGGTGGGGGTCGGCCCCAAAGCACCGGGAAAGCGAGGATGCGGAGCTGGTGTTGCTGGCGCTGGAGGAGAGGCAGCTGCTAGGGCAGAGCAGGGATGTGGGGCTAAGAACATGCTCTTCCCAGCAGCATTCACTGGGGCCAGAGGACAGTCCCTCCCCACACCAGCTAGATACACCCCACCTAGTGTGCAGCCTCCATTTCCTTCGGCTAACTCTGGGGAGGCAGGGGCAGCATGGGGCAGATTGGCAGCTCTTTGGGGCTGGGTCCCCCATCTTTGGTCCGTATCTGTACAGGCCTAGCACTAGGGGGCTAGGGCTGTATCTGGGGCCCACAACCCAAAACTCTGCCCTCAACGTGCTGGGTGCCCTTGGGCAAGTCTCTGTGCCTCAGTTTCCCCTCCCAGGCTCTCTCAGTAAGAGGGCTCATGGCAGGGACAGTCTGGGTCCATGCAGCCACCCAGCACCATGAGGCCCTGATCTCAGCTGATGTTTCCAGGCATCTCCAGAATTGAAACCACTGTCTCAAGCCACGTCGCTTGTACCCACACCCAGCCCCTCTCTCTTCTCCATGTCTGTGATGCCCGTCCTCCACCCCCAGCCAGCGTGTCACGGTGTCCCCCCACCTGGAAGGTCTCTCTGGCCATTCCCGCTCATCCATCAGCTCCTCCCGCCGGTCCTACCCCAGCCATGTCTGTCCCTGCAGCTCTGGGTCTGACTCTGAGCCCGCCCGGCCACTGCCTAGGCATCATGTCGATTTCATTTCTCAGCTCTCCATCTCCCCTGGTGGATCCCTTCCCTGCCTCCCCCAACATACAGCTCCCATTCCCCCCCCCCCCCCTGCCTAACTCCTCGTCCACCCTCTGCACCACAAATCCCCCCGCCCCCCATCCACACACCCATCTCTTCTCGTTCCATTTCATGGGCGCAGCTTGCTCCAAAGGAGGCCTGGGTGGAGGCATCTTTTCCGTACGGCTTCCCGGCGCACGTTTGCCAAACAGGGTAGGGTGGGGCTAATGGATGAAAGATTGATTCCAGCCCTGCGAGCCGGTGGGAGAGCAGCCAACGTTGCGGAGGACACTTGGGACGGGTCAAGTTTCCTGGATGTTCTTGCGAGGCAGTAAACAGCCCCCGTTTGTTCTACGTTGGTGCTGGCACGAAGGGAGCAAACCGAATTCAGCGCCATCTCTCTCTCACACATGCACACACACACCCCATGTGTGCACACGGAGAATGAGGGGCTGGCTGATTTGGGGGGGATGCACAATGGAGCGGGCGGTCCTTCCCCCCCCCCAAAGGGGCACTGGTTCCAATCCAGGTTGGGGGGTGCAGGGGATCAGCTCGCTCAGGGAATGGGATATGGGGTCTTTCAGCTGTAGGGGGCGCTGGTTCCAATCCAGCTCCAGGTTGTGAGCTGGCTTGGGGAATGGGATATTGGGTCTTTTAGCTTTAGGGGGCACAGGTTTCAATCCAGCCCCAGGTGAGGGGGACCAGCTGGCTCAGGGGGCAGGATGCTCAGACAATGTATGAGCCTCAACACAGTAGTGTTAAACTGGTACCCCTATGCCCCATGGGGAGGGACAACCATTTATGTAGAGACGTGATTTTTTAATCTTCAGCCACGCACCGCTGAAATATTTTTAAAGTACATTTTTAAACTCAGGACCTGTTGACTGACACACTCAATTCAGAAACAGACAGGCTGTGTCTACATTGGCATGATTTTGCGCCAAAGTGGCCGCTTTTGTGCAAAAACATGCTGCCTGTCTACACTGGCGGGGAGTTCTTGTGCAAGAACACTGACGTTCTAATGTGTGAAATCAGTGCTTCTTGCACAAGAACTATGATGCGCCCGCTCAGGAATAAGCCCTCTTGTGCAACTGTTCTTGTGCAAGAGGCCAGTGTAGACAGGCAACATGAATTTCTTGCACAAGAAAGCCCGATGGTTAAAATGGCCATGGGAGCTTTCTTGTGCAAGGAAGCGTCTACACTGGCACGGATGCTTTTGCGCAAAAGCACATCTCTTGCGCAAAAGCACGTGCCAGTGTAGACGCTCTCTTGCGCAAATACTTTAACGCAAAAACTCTTGCGTTAAAAGTATTTGCGCAAAATCTTGCCAATGTAGACCTAGCCACAGTGTCTAGCTGGGTTTGGCACATGCCCGTGCAATGCTTTCATTCCCCCTTGAACGGCTCTTTCACCGGTTCAGGGTCTGCTAATCGCGCCAGCCGGCGTTGCCACTTTCAAGTTAACTAGCTCCTCTGCCGAGTTAGACACACCGGGCTGCGGCAGCCAGAGAACAGGAATACGAGGCGGCAGGTGAGTGAACAGTAAGACCCAGGCAGCTGCCTATTCTGTGTCAGGGTAAGAACGGCCTCGTCGGGGGGTGGCAAATGGGGTTTCTCTTGTCTTGTGGGCACTGGTTCAAACAAGGCCCCTGGTTAAAGGGCAAAGCCCTTTGAGGCTCGCAACACCTCTGCCCTGCTGCTTGCAACTCTTCTTAAAGCTAGGGTGAAAGGCCTGTTACAAACACCCCACTGGAGAGACCAGCCCCTTTTTACTGGTGGGGAAACTGAGGCACAGCTCGGGGAAGGGACTCCCACCAGGTCACCCAGCAGACTGGGGCAAGGCAGAGAATAGGCCCAGGAGTCACATCAGTCCAGGGCTAACTACTGGACAAGGCCGTACTCAAGAGCAAGATCAGAACTTCTGCCATTAAAGCATCAGCTGCCAGGTTGCACAGGGTCCAGTCCCCTGGATGATACACGGTTTTCCCCACAAATGACCCTTCAGACACAGGGCAGAATTGGCTCCTCCCACCCAACAGGGCAGTACACAGAATGAAACAAGACTGTTTCCAGATCACCCATCTGGGAACAGGGACTGAGCTGCTGTAAGCTGGCTCAGCTCCCTTGTTGCCAGTGGAACAGCATGGGTTGGTAGCAGCTGAAGATCTGACACTGGCAACTGAAATGCAGCTACCTCTGGGGTGGAGATTGGCAGTTGTTGGACGGCAGACAGAAACACTGCACAGGAGTCGCACCCACTGCAGGGCAGGGCAGATCTTTAATGGCACACAACCACCCTGCATGGGGATCACTCACCCAGCACCAAAATGCAGCTGTCGCTGGGGTGGAGCACAGCCACAATTCAGATGGGACATGCAGTGGCACCAGGCCAAACTGAAGAAAGGAGGTGGAGCGGGGAGTTTATAAAGACAGGCAGAAGGGACTTACCCTCCACTGGAATTTGGCCAGCCGGCTGGCGTTTATGCCTCCTCCCGTTTGATTGACCACAAGTGGCCAGGCTGAGACAAATTTCATGGCTCAGCTGCAGTGGAGAGGGAGTGATTAAACACAGGGGAGTCTTCCTGTGACAAAGTTCAAGGCAAGCAGATTAACTCTTTCCTGCCTGCGCAGAGCCTGCCAGCCATCCCAGCGAGCTGAAAAGCCATGCTCCCACCTTGGGCAGGGAGCGGTCGGGTAAATGTGGCCCTGTTGGCACGCCAAAAGGGGCTCCTGGGGCTAGCCCAGGCCCAGCTAACCAAAGATCCCGACTCTGACAGTGGCCAGCACCAGTGTAAGAACTCTGCCTAGCAGCTGTGGGACAAGCAACCCACATAATCTTCCATTCTGGCCTCTAATAGTCAGGGAGCAGTTAAACCCAAAGCAGGGGGTTTAATATTCCTGTTAGCACTCACACTGTATTCATTCTTACGCCACTCTTTGGACATTGCTATGCTTCAATGTCCTGTGGCAGGGAGTTCCGCAGGCTAAACACACCTTAAGAACATAAGAACGGCTGCACTGGGTCAGACCAAAGGTCCATCTAGCCCAGTAGCCTGTCTGCCGATAGTGGCCAGCACCAGGTGCCCCAGAGAGGGGGGACCGAAGACAATGATCAAGCGATTTGTCTCCTGCCATCCCTCTCCAGCCTCTGACAAACAGAGGCCAAGGACACCATTTCTATCCCCTGGCTAATAGCCTTTTATGGACCTAACCTCCATGAAATTATCCAGCTTCTCTTTAAACTCTGTTATAGTCCTAGCCTTCACAGCCTCCTCTGGCAAGGAGTTCCACAGGTTGACTACACGCTGTGAGAAGAAGAACGTTCTTTTATTAGTTTTAAACTTGCTACCCATTCACTTCATTTGGTGTCCTCTAGTTCTTCTACTATGGGAACTAATAAATAACTTTTCTTTATTCACCCTCGCTACACGACTCATGATTTTATAGACCTCTATCATATCCCCCCTCAGTCTCCTCTTTTCTAAACTGAAAAGTTCCAGTTGCTTTAGCCTCTCTTCATATGGGACCCCTTTCCAAACCCCTAATCATTTTAGTTGACCTTTTCTGAACCCTTTCCAAATATCTTTTTTGAGGTGAGGAGACCACATCTGTACACAGTATTCAAGATGCGGGCGTACCATAGTTTTATACAGGGGCAGTAAGATATTCTGGGTCTTATTTTCTACCCCTTTCTTAATAATTCCTGACATTCTATTTGCCTTTTTGACCGCCTTGAGTGGGAAAATGTTATTTCCTTTTAGCAGCTTTGATTTGGCCACTTTTCATTGCCTTGTACAACCCCTTGTTTTTATGCCCTGAGACACGGTTGGCATGAGGTGGCTGAGTGGGTTAAGCATCAGATTGGTGTCAGGAGACCAAGAGTTTAGTCCGACAGCGGTATAAGCTTTGCCTTGTCTACATTCAATGCTGGCTTCTGGTAGCACCAAAAAGCTTGGGTCCCATGAGTCCTGGATCCAATTCTTGGCTTTGCCACTGACTTTGCTGGTGAGGCTAGCCAAACCCCCTGCACCTGGCTCCATGCCTCAGTTTCCCCGTCTGTAAAATGGGAGAGAACGCGGCTCCTGTTTTGATGCTATGTCATGCCCGGCCGCCGGCAGACATGCTTCAAACCCAAGCTGCTGTCCTGACCCTGCCAAAGCTGCTGGCCCCATTTCTTATCTTAGGTTGCCGTGGGTAGCAAAGTCCCTGCTGTGTCCCGGCCTGCAGTCACTAATGGGCCAGATGAAATCAATTCGCCTCCATTACGGTCAGACCCAGGGCCCAAACATTAAGCATGGCAGCAGGCGAGCGCCAGCACTACCCCGCAGATGTGATTATGGGGATGCTGCCGGGGATACGATAAGGCGTTTGATTCGATGAAGGGGGCACCTGTGTTCTTGCTGGCTGGGCCGCCACTCAGGTTGTCGAATAAAGTAAAACCTAATACCGCTGCCAGCTGGCCCCTGGCCCCACGTCCCTCTGTGCGGCGACTGAGACAGGCGCGCAGTGGCCAGGCTGCAAACAGGCGTGCGCGTCACTTGCGAGTAACAACATTAGCGTCCCCAGGAGGTGAGACGTTTTTATTGGAAGTGAAGGGAGGGGAGCAGGGCTGGGAGCCAAGGGATCACGTCACACGCTCTCCTGATCACCCGCAGCGGAGGTGCTGCTGAGTCACCCCCATGGGAGGGGGGAACTGGCCTTCACACACACCCCAACGGCAACCAGGGCCCCATTGCGCTGTACACCGGCGAGGGAGCGCGATGCCCCCACTGCAGAACTCACCGTCTCCACGGACAAGGCGGAGCAAATGGAGAGCCACGGCCTAGAGAAATAAGTGACTTGCCTGAGGTCCCCACAAAATGTCAGTGGCAGAGCTGCCTGTTTGGTCCAGGACCATTGGCATAGGAACTTTTTTTAGAGTGGGGTGGCTGAAATCCAGCTCCCTTTCCCCTGTCCATCCCCTCGCCTGCCCCCGCTCAACGCGGAAACAAAGCCCCAGCTCACAAGGCCAGCAGCTGGGACTCTGGGGGCAGGGCTAGAAGCAGAGCTCCCGGCCCACAGGACTGTGGCCAGGAACCAGGGGGCGCAGTTCCTGCACCCATGTCTGTGACCAGTGCTCCCTGTAAGATGGCCGCTTGGGCGGCCACCCAGGAGAGAGTCCAATGCCGCCCAGCTGATTAGCAAAGCGCCCACAGCGGGTGTTTCTCCTGGTGGTGCACAACTGCACATACCTTGGTGCACAGAACAAAATTCATTCTGCACACGTGTAGAAAAATTAGAAGGGACTTTACCTGTGACCTCTTCGGGTCAGAGACTGTTTCATGACATTCAGCCTGGGGCTGGGAGTTGGGGGGAGGGGTAGGTGGTGTTATATTGCAAACACCAGCTGTTAAAAGCCATACAGTTACACCCAAGGTGCAGTTGCTAAAAGAGGCACATTTGTTGCACCTGCTGGGCTGGTACCTACACGCTGTCCGGCCCCTCGGCCAACACACCAGGGATCACCGGAGCTGATCCTCCCACCTGCTGGAGATGGGGCTATAACAGGCGCCCATCCTCTGTCGCTCGGCTCACACGGGGCCTGACACACACACACACACTCCGGTAGGATCCTTCTGTCTTTTCCCAGGGCAGAGCATCTCTGATCAGCTGTACCAGCAGCAGCCCCAGCTGGTACCCCCCACTCCCTGAGGAGGCTGGAAGTAGCTGCAGCTCGTGCCCCCACAGAAAAAGTCCTTTCCCCTTTATTGGGCTCCACACAGCACATGGGGTGTTGGCAGCCAGCAGCTGAGGTTCCTCCTTTCCATAGGCATGGGAAAAGGGGGAGGGGGTGCTGGACTCCCGGGGGGGGAGCTGGGTAAACCTCCGTGCCCAAAGCCTGGCTCAGCAGGGATCTCCAGACTGATGTCTCGCTAGTTCTCTCAACATCTCCCGCTGCCCTCGTGGGGCCCAAATCCCAGATGCAGCTAATGCCTCAGTAGCACTTGTGGGGCAAAGCCCAAGCAGGAAGGCTGGGGAGAGGGTGTAGCCGACAGTCTGGTCAAAGGGCAGGTTTGACCCTGATCCTGCCCTCTGCCCACTGCCCCGTTATGCTCAGCACATTATAAAGAAGAGCTAAAAGCAGGAACTGTCCTGTAGCACCTTAGAGATCATAGACTGGCCCATCCGACACCCATATGACATCAGGAGGTAAGCATGGGGCACGTACAGCCCGCTCTATGAGCCTCATTTAGCACGGCCGCTTTCATTGACAGGTTTTTCCCCTCCTGCTCTTTTTCTGCTGTCTGTGTGGACCCCTCGCTCGGCTCATCTGAAGAAGTGGGTTGTGCCCACAAAAGCGCATGACACCAGCTATGTGTTTTTTGGTTAGTCACGAAGGTGCTGCAGGACTATTCGTGGTCTTGTGTTTGTAGCTACAGACTCACACGGCTGCCCCCTCTGAGACGCATAAAGGACAGTGTCACTAGGCTGCCTTGCAGGTGGGGAAACTGAGGCACAAAAGCAGGGCAGGTGCATGGGAGGGGCTGGGAACCTGGGACCCCCCTGTTCCCTGAGGAGGCAAGAAGTAGCGGAAGTTTGTGACCCGCAGGGAAGGTCTTTTCCCCTTTACTGGGCTCTGCAAAGCACATGGGCTGTTGGCAGCCAGCGGCTGAGGTTCCTCCTTTCCATAGGCATGGGAAAAGGGGGAGGGGGTGCTGCTGCTCCTGCCCCCAGGACACCGGCCCCTTGCCCCTGCCTCCCAGGGTCCCTGCCAGCAGCTCACTGCTGCCCAAGGGCTCTGCTGCCAGCCCCCAGTCCCATTCAGCCACTGGCCTCAGGTTACACCCGACTGCCGGCCCCATATCCCAGAACTCAGCTGCTGGTCCCCAGCTCCCAGACGCTCACCCTGGATGGGAGGTCCTGGACAGCGAACTGGGGTCCTGTCGGCCTTCAGCCCCAGCTCTAGGGGCGGGGAAGGGCACAAAGAGGGGTACAGGCACCCCCCCTCCAAAAACGTTTCCGGTGCCCCTGCTCCAGTCAAGTGCCAATGTTTGCTGTCTGAGAAACCAGCCGAGATGGCGGCGCCCTGGGGCCAGGCCAGCAAAAGGTCGCCCAGGGTAAAAGCGCAGGGGGAAGGCAGGGCGTGGATTTAAAATGGATTCACTCTCTCAGGTTAAGGCCTTGTTCCAAATCCGCGCACTCCCCTTCCAAAAGGGACTGAGCTCCCTCTCTGGATTACCAGCCTCCGCCCATGGCGTTAAACCGGAGTAGCGTCTCCTGCCCCATGTAGACAAGCCCACACTCACACCGCGAGCCGACAGCCCAGCCAGGAGCTGAGCCGTGCTCTACCCACTAGGAAATCCTTCCTATTTTAGCACACGGGTGCGTTTGCAAAATGTACCCACATTCTACCTCAGGGGTGGGCAATCATTTTTGGGGGGGGGGGCACTCCAAGATTTGGGGTAAGTGGTCAAGGGCCGCACTTTTCTATGGAGGGAGTACAGGGCTTGGGATGGTGGTTGGGTGCAGGAGGGAGCCTAGGGTAAGGGTCTGGGGTGCAGGACGGGGTGTGGGGTCTGAGAGGGAGTTTGGATGAAGGAGGGGTTGTGAGCTGGGGCAGGGTTCGGGGGGGGAGGGGTGCAGGAGAGGGTTCTGACCTGGGGAAGGGTTGTAGGATGGGGGGCGGAGTCTGACCTTGGAGGGGGGATGCATAGGACTTACAGAGCACCCACCTGCTGCTTTAATCAGTTGGCTGCTCCCTTTGGTTCTCTGCTGTGGATGTTTGAGAGGAGGGGGAGCTTTGTGCATTGCTCCCTCCCCCAGAAAAATCTCTCATATTCCATTGGCTGGTTTCAGACTAATAGAAGCTGAGAGATTTTTCTGGGGGCGGGGGTAGTGTACAAAGCCACCCACTCTCCTGCACTTGGAGCAGAGAAGTACAGAGAGCAGCCAGCTGCTTTGAGTGCATACTAGGAATATCCCCAAAGAATCAAGTTGTTGTTGAGGTTAGAAATAGTTAAGCACGCAACACCATGGCTTCTCTGTAGTATGAGACTGAAATTACCAGTAGATGTACAGTGGCTTATACATATCTATATCCATGTGTGTTGACAACCAAGATAGTTGATGAACTGGTGTGAAATGATCAAGTGTCTGGCAATACATCCAATAAGGCTGTTGGAAAAGCTGGAAAGGGTTTACAAAAGGGCTACTAGAATGATCTGAGGTCTGGAAATAATTTTTAACTAAACAAAGTGAGTTTCTTAAATCTCTCAATGTAACTATACGAAGGCCAGGAAGTGGCTTGATCATCACCTAGAAGAATACATAGGGAAGAAACTTTTGAAAGTAAAATGGCTCTGTAGTTGAGCAGAAAAAAAATCATAATGTGACCCAACAGTTGGACACAAAAACTAGACAAATTCAGACTATAAATAACTGGGAGTACACAACCACTGGAATAATTTATTTGTCACTCTTGATTTAAAAATGAGGTTTCTTTCTGAAAGAGAAATGACAGTTCAATCAGAAATTATGAATTTCATTTTAGAAATTGCTGTGGAGCTGGAACAATCCATGGCCTCTGTGATGCAAGGAATCAGACTAGATTATTTTAATAGTCCAATGTAATGTTAATGTCTGTGACTTTTTAAAAAGCTATAAAATAGAAAATATAGTAAATGGACTAGCTGTGATTCCACTTTCTTCCTTGACTCCACAATAAAAGCCCCTCCCTACTATTGTGAGAACTAAAAAGTTGGGCCGAATAACCAGGCTTTGCATTTAGATATTGGCTATAATGTAGCTCGTGCATATGGCTTTTTGTCACACATGGAGAATGCGTGCAAGGCTATGTAAAAATCTCTGATCAGTTGCATTCTTTAGATAACTATGCTTTTGCCACTAGATGTCAACCTAGGATGTGCTACTAGCCTATGTTTGCTTTTGCAAGCCTCTTTAAGAGTTAAATATATTAATACTCCAAAGTGCTAGGGCAATTCAGCATAAAACATCTTTGAATGTACGGATTTCTGCTTGTATCTTCCTTTGGGCTGTAATATGTTAGTCAGTTCGGTACTGTGATGTTGCTGGCCCTTTGGCTCCTCTAGAGCAGCGGTTTTCAAACTGTAGGGCTTGCTCTCCAAGGGTGGGCACAGAGGAACATTTTTTTTGCAGGCGGGGAAGCAGCGCTGCACAGTGGGGCTCAGGGCATGGATGAAGCACTCCCTCCCTGATTTACCTCAATGGGCCACTCAAACAGTGGGTCAGTGTCAACATCTGCCATGGCCACAGCAATTTCCATTCCTGGATGCATCCTCGCCCAGCGCTAGCTCCACTCCTAGAGACTTCACACGTGCCTTCCCCTACCTGGAAAACATGAGGGGCAGGTATTGTCTGGGTTGGCGGGAAAGGAGGCACAACCAAAAATTGTAACATAGAGGGTTGGAAGGACTCAGCTCAAAATGTGCTGCTCTACGGTATTCAGTTTTTCTGTGGAATGGGAAAGATAAGAAGGTTTTTATTTTGTTGTTCTGTGCAGTCTTGCAAACATTTGTACATGCTATCGTATCTGCTTTTCAATATATATTCCCCACAATTTAAAGAATGAGCCCTTTGAATCCTGTTGGAATCGATACTAGCAGTTACGCTTTCTCAGGGTACAAAAATTATGCTCACTAATGGGAGAGGTAGACACTACACATCCACAGGACTGAATTGCTGTACCTACGGATAATCATAGCATATTCGTCGTCCAATTCACACCCCTTGCGGTTATATGGTATTCCTTTAATGATATGGCCTGGTGAGGATGCTGTATTTTTACAAAACAACATATATATGTGGGGCCGGGGGAGGGGAGGGGAGAGTCTGGATCATATAGTCCAACTTCCTGTGACCCACACACCAAACCCAGCAGCCACAATGAGCCCAAAATATGGCAACCCATAAGAAACTAGAGTATTAAGTCCCACAGGAAGAGGCTAAAACGGACTAAGGTGCACTGCCTGAGGCCTCGCAGTGTTAGGGAAGTGTTTGTGAAAGAGCCAGACAATCCTGGCAAATTATCTACACGCCATGCTGAGTAGAATGGCAGTGACATTTTTGCCTGCTCAAAGCAGAAGGATGTTCAATGTGACTCTGCACCACATGCTGTCCCCACCTCCACACTAGCCCAGTCTCTCGGCTCCCACTGGCCTTCCTCCCCCCCTCCCCACACACACACACACAGGTAGTACAGAGAGCAGCCAGCTGCTTTGAGTGGCATGGCACTGCTCCGCACCCTACAGCCCTGGTGGGGTGGGCCATGGCCTGGATTAGAAGGCCAGATCTTACCCACCCCAAACGATCTTGACCATGGCAGATTAAATAAAACCCTTTCCCTTCCTCCTCTGTCCCCAAATTCTCCAATTTCTCCTTAAACCCCTCTCTCCTGATGTCCCTGCGGAGCAGACTGGGCCGGATCGTGTCTGGCAACGTGGCCCAACATGACCCACCCTCTGCTCTGGGGGCGGGGGCAGGGTGCCATGTGAATTCATCTCTCGCTCATCACCCTGCTGGGAAGCTGTGGCCCTGGGTGAAGAAGAGAGCAGAAGGGGAGCTAATCCAGTTAAGGAGGAAAGAGTCATTTTGCAGGGAAGGCGAGCGCTGGGCTAGCCACCACGGTAAAGAAACAACATAGACAATAACTCTCACCCAATCTATCGCCTAGCGCTTGAGTGAAATGGACAGCAGATTTTATTACGTATTATTTTCCTTCACAGAGTTGACTTACGGCTCAGAGAGACACTTGTCTGCCACAGGCAGAGACAGCGCTACAGAGAGATGAACACGAAGAAGGCAGCCTCTAGCTGCTGGGGCAGGGTTCGGGGGGGGAGGGGTGCAGGAGAGGGTTCTGACCTGGGGAAGGGTTGTAGGATGGGGGGCGGAGTCTGACCTTGGAGGGGGGATGCATAGGACTAGATGCTTACCTAGGCAGCTCCCAGCCAGCAGTCCAGTGGGACCCTAAGGCAGGCTCCCTGCCTGCTGCAGCCCCAGGTCGCTCAAAGCAGAAGGATGTTCAATGTGACTCTGCACCACATGCTGTCCCCACCTCCACACTAGCCCAGTCTCTCGGCTCCCACTGGCCTTCCTCCCCCCCTCCCCACACACACACACACAGGTAGTACAGAGAGCAGCCAGCTGCTTTGAGTGGCATGGCACTGCTCCGCACCCTACAGCCCTGGTGGGGTGGGCCATGGCCTGGATTAGAAGGCCAGATCTTACCCACCCCAAACGATCTTGACCATGGCAGATTAAATAAAACCCTTTCCCTTCCTCCTCTGTCCCCAAATTCTCCAATTTCTCCTTAAACCCCTCTCTCCTGATGTCCCTGCGGAGCAGACTGGGCCGGATCGTGTCTGGCAACGTGGCCCAACATGACCCACCCTCTGCTCTGGGGGCGGGGGCAGGGTGCCATGTGAATTCATCTCTCGCTCATCACCCTGCTGGGAAGCTGTGGCCCTGGGTGAAGAAGAGAGCAGAAGGGGAGCTAATCCAGTTAAGGAGGAAAGAGTCATTTTGCAGGGAAGGCGAGCGCTGGGCTAGCCACCACGGTAAAGAAACAACATAGACAATAACTCTCACCCAATCTATCGCCTAGCGCTTGAGTGAAATGGACAGCAGATTTTATTACGTATTATTTTCCTTCACAGAGTTGACTTACGGCTCAGAGAGACACTTGTCTGCCACAGGCAGAGACAGCGCTACAGAGAGATGAACACGAAGAAGGCAGCCTCTAGCTTTGTAGGATCCTGTTCTCAAAGCAGCATAAGTTCCAGGGGAAAGTTCCACCCCATTTAACCCTAAGAGTTTGCCTCTGGGAGGGGTAGGACAAATTAAATCAGGATTGACTACAGATGTGAATTGAAAGTGGATTAGTGAAACTGCATTAAGTCTGTGTGGACACACCCATTCAGAATGAAAGTGGCCTTAATTTGGTTTAATTGAATTCATTTTCAAAGTGAATTAAGGTCAAACTGTGAATTACGGTGAAACTTTTATTCTGAATAAGGAATGTAATGTGGTTTAACTAATCCATATTAAATGTTAATTTGAATTAGCTTTCTTGAGTGTCCCCAGGAAGACAAATCTTTACTGTGTGAATTTAAATGGAATTAATTAAAATGCAGCA